TACACCACAGCATGACAAATGGCCTGAAATGACTCTGAACTGAGTTCCTAGGACTGAAAGCAAAGCAGTTTTAAAAATCTTCTCCCATAACCCCACCTCTATTTACAAAAAGCCCTCTGGGAAACTCCAGAGATTTTGCCCCTCCCCTTTGTATCTCCCCTTACAGTATACCCATAGTAGGATGCCAGCACACTGCTCAGTGATGCTTATGTCCGTACGACTGCAGAAACGCAGCTCAGAACACAGATCATAGTCTCTCAGGTGCCTGGTGCTCCTTTTTAACCATCATGTCTTTGATGATTATGTGGAACAGTCTACCTCTCCTACTGACTTTTTGTTACAGCATCAAATCGTGAAGAGCTTCCAGCCCCCTTAGTCCCACAAACGTTACTACTAACAGTAACATATTACTAATAGAGAAGAATTTCTTCCTTGTGCTTGTGTCCTACTCAGCTTGTCAAGGCCAAGCCACCAGTATAAAGATTTGCCCCTTACTGTCCAGGACAAAGACAGCTTAGTCTCTATTTCACAATGTTTAATTCATGCTCATTCATTATTTGGTGCCTGTGAGCAGGTGCAGGGCAGAGAATGCTAACCCAATACCCTCATTACCACATGCCAGTTTTGTTTCCCAGATTACAGCAGTGCCTGTGGTTAAGCAAGTCCGAATGAGGCAGCTGAACTGGCCTAATTACCAAGATCAGATGCATCATGGAGCAGAAATCTATGCAGGTATGAAAACAAAACAAGAAGCATGAAAAATAAGACTCCTGAGAAAGTAAGAGCTATCCACAAGAAGGTCTGCCTCAAATCAAAGCAAAGCAGAACCTCTTTGGTACTCTGGGGTAACTGAGGAGGGAACATTGTTATGGAAATAGTAAGAGTCAGCCTTTTCACTTTCACATTTTAGAAACAGCAGACAAATACTGCTTGACATGAGTAAGTGTTAATCTTCATCAGCCCTTAAATAGAATGTTCCTTCCTTTACTAATGATTAGAATCACTTTAATTTTAAATTTTGCACTACGCTTTATTTTTATACCTCACAAGAATGGGTTTTTTTGGAATGATATTTATAAACAAGATAATCTTCTGCCCTCCTTTTCTAACACTTTTGATTGTCCCTTCTTTTTTATACCCCAACATCAGTTATTAGTGGATATCAAGTCGAAAACGTTGGACATCTGATGTTTGCGTTGCCTAATGCATCAGGAACGGGAAACAAGAACATGGCTGTCCATCTGTAGCCAATTCCTGCCTCTCAAACAAGGGAGAACCTTTACTTGATCTGTTATCTGGCTGTTATTTTGCTTCAGTAAAGAGAGCAAATTTTGTATGATTTTTCTGTAACACCTAAACTCCTACCTAAAACTGTAATGCACTGTAAAATAGTTTTTGCCCTTGGCAACATGGAGTCCAACTTCAAGTCCTGGAGTGACTTGAACACAGCATGCAATTTGTGTATCAGTTTGCAAAGAAATCTGTGAGTTTTCAGGCTCGCAGGAAATAAAGTAATACAAGGAGAACTGAAACGCCAAGTACAATTCTTTGCTGACGTGAATGAACTTAAATTGAGTTTTGCCCATTTATTCAAGCTGCTCATACAGCCACACAATGCAAATGCAGCACACTACATCATTCTCTTACTTTGATCAAGATGGTTTTATATAGAGTAGCATGGTTTCTGATTCTGTCCTGACATTACCTTGACTGTATTCTTATAGCTTGTCTAATTAAATTTCATTTTCTTTCCATAATTTTTTTTCTTAATTTTCTTTCCATAATTTTTTTTTAAAGATCTGAATAATAATTTCTTCATTTAGGAGTAGTGTCAGGTGTCTTTTTGAGGAAGATAAATTATAAATCAATCAGAATGGCACTGGGAAGGATGGTGACCTATTGCTGCTCTGCACTGCATGAATCAGCTTTTAGGGTCGCATTAGTAATTCAGTTGAGAATTAAAGTCTTCAAAGGAAAAATATACATTCTGTCATTAATAATTAGTTTTTCTTGAAATTATTCTTCTGAGAGGTGGTTGCAATCAGTAGGACATCAAGTAAGAACAATCCCAGGGGGCTGATTACAATTGGTTTTATTATTCTTACAGGTATATATATTTTTTAAAACAGCTAATCATTTCCTCTAAATTTTGTACATTCCCATTCATCTGTGATGCTAGAATAAAGCAGAAGACATGACCCAGAGAAGGACATCTGGAAATTCAAGGTTCCTATCAGGATCATCTGTTTTCCTTTTCTTTCCTGTTCCCTTCCATTCCTCTGCATCAAATGCTGCAGCACAGTACAATAGCTTTGAGAGCCGTTCTCTTCCACAGCATGGAAGTCTCCCTTTATGTCAAAGGAAACAGCAGAGATATGAGATAGCTTTAGGTCTTCGAACGTGCTGGAAGAGCTCAAATATTTTTTCACTTGCCATGAAGAACCTCAGTGACCAGAAAGAAATTCATCACTTCTAGAAAGGCATCTAACTACCTACAGAAAAAAAGGGATGCTTGGTCCCATTTCTTGTCTTTCACTTTGGTACAGAGAGGGAAGCAAATGGGCAACACCTTCAAGTGTGACAATAGAAGAATTCTGAATCCTGAGGCTCTACTGTCTGCAAATAGCTTCCTATCCTACCTATCAGGAAATATCTAAACCCTAAAGCAATGCTTGAACGGGTCGCCATACTTTTCTACTTTTCAAGACTACATGTCACACGGGGGATATCAAGACACTGTTGTGGTTAGAACGTGAAACCAATAAACACAAATCACTAGTCTCTTGCCTGGAATAAAACTAAGCAAAAGCAGTCAGACATTTGCTTGTCCACTCTGTGAAACAGTCTGAGACTTTCAGTTGAAGGCACCACACAAACACTAGGTATCACTGTCTGAATATGTCTTATTTACCTACCAATAATATTGCTATCTGTTTGGATCAATTTTAGAATCAAAACACAACCAAACCTATCTGGGTTCTGAATGCTTGATGTATCACCCACCACAAAGACCGATGAACTGGAAAGCAGTGGCTCTTTGTGGTGATGACGCATGAGGCCGAGTAGAATGTCACCTTATCCTGTGCATCAAAAATGTTTTCCTGCCAAAAAATTAAGCAACCCTGACATAAGCATTCAATTGCCAAGTGAGCCCTTTTAAACACATCTACAGTTTCAAGTTTGTGTATTTTGTCAATTCCCAGTCCACCCCTACTGCAGCCTATGAACATCAGTCCTCCTATGAAGTCCCTGGCTGACCTGTGGATGATGTGTCTGCTCTGGAGATAGTCGAGGGCCAACACCAGCTCACAGATGAAGAGTTTCACAGTGCCTTCTTGGAATCGCACATTTTGTTGGAGATGATAACGCAGGTCCCCTCCAAGCAGCAGATCCACAACCATGAACATATCTTCTTCATCTTGGAAAGAGTACCTAAAATGGCATAAACATGGTTCGAGGAGCATAATATCAAAAAGCAGATTAAAAGGGGATAGAAAATACCTCAGGAAATGCCTGTAATTTCTTGAAACTTTTTCACTTGGTAAAAAATAATTTCATAATCTTTCCATGCTCAGTTTCCCACATGCATCTAAACCTCTTACTGACAATATTCTCAAAGTACCTGAGCTGATGACACTTTAGCTTGGGTTCCACAACAAAGTCAGTACAGCTTGCATGAAAATTGCCAATAGGCTCAGTAGAAGAAAAGGAACACAGTGATTTTCTGCAGAACATGTCTTACTATCAGCCACTTAAAAAAAGAAAGTCGAATCAAAACTCTCAACATACATTACTCTAATGCAGTTTGCATCAGCCAGTATCACTGATTTCATGTTGAACATCACATCTATTGTCTACTCCTGTCAGCTGGAGCACACTCAACATAGATTCTTCTGAGAATTTACCTAACTCCACCAAGCTTTAAGTGAGCATGGATGCACTAAGATGTATCAAGCACCCAAACCTGGACCACATTTGAGCAGATTTACAGGAGGTGACAAAAGTCGGTACAGAAAACAGTGCAAGATCATGGTTTTCTTCATTTTCACAAATCAATACCTTCTTCTAAATTTGAACTTCAGGATGACTGAATCATTTTAACTCATGTTTTTCCTAATAAATTCATCCTGAGATAGAAAATTCAAAATAGCCAAAACATCTAGTCCAGCAAACTGAAAACCAAGCCTTTCAAAGGGAAGCAGTGGACAAACGTGACTTCTGGACTTTGCTGTGCTCTCTGCCAATGGTTCTAACAGTCAAAAGAAGGACTCAAGTACCCAATATTCTCTGTACCTGGAGCATCCTGTGATCACGAGTACAGACTTTACTAGTGCCAGTTTTTGTGCCAAGAGGGTCCCACAGGAGAAGCACAAGAAAACAGAACGCTGAGTCAGGATTAGTTTGCTTGAAAACACAGCAGAATGCACAGACTTCAGCAACCAAACCTATGAATGTGGTTATGCAACCTTTTCCCCACCACAAAAAGACAAAGTTCATCAAAAACAATGAAGCCCCAAAAGCTTGGAATCATTTCTGAATATACATCCAATGTTTGATCTCTTTTTTTGTTGTTTTTTTTTGTTTTGTTTTTTTAATAAGGGGGTTCATTGAATGCAATGGAGGTAAAACTTTTCAAAGAAGTAATAAAGGACAAGGAGGACCTATGCTGAGCTAACAATAGGGAGATCTCTGCCGCTAGCAGCTCAACAGTCACTGCTGAACAGCTCTCGCCTTCTGGACGAAGCAGTTTGCTTCGTACTCTCTGCCACTGAGTGTTTTCTTGACACTGGTGTAGTACAGTGAGTTTTGTGATACCACAAGTGGGCATATCTGAGCACAGCATTATTGTCCTGGGACAGAAGGCAGATATGAATGCTCTTGACATTTTCCATGTGGGGAGAGAGGAACATGAAGTTACCAGTTTACTGCTCAATTCATGGACCACCTCAGAAGGCACCCTTCAGCCTAGGCTGCAGTCCAGCACTGCCATGAATAGAAAGAAGAGAAAAGGAAGTGTCAATTGTTCTGGCCTCGCAGGTCAGTCACACAGTCATCTGTATCTCTCCTAACACCTTATCAAGGGGGTAGTTTGAGATTTAGGAGACAGAATGGCAACTCAGTATCTCTTCAAGCGGATCACTCAGGAGGGTGTTTGGATGCTAATTTCCTCCCCCTAAGGGTTGCAAAGAGAGCTAGACAGGAGCATGACATGCAGAAACAGCTTTAAGATGTGTTTATCATGGGATATGAAAGGCAGTGACTAGCACAGAGCAGAAAGAGCCCCGAACTATGCATTTTTATTTCAGAGAAGACCCCACAGTAATGCCTTGTTTCTTGGCCTTCCCAAAGCGCTCGGCAGTGTACAGCATGCACTGGCTTCTTTTATTCAGCTGTAACTGCTGGTGCCAGCAAGAGAGCAGCTAATGAAACACTTCCACTTCAGAAAGGTGACATGGGAGATGGTAGTGTTGCTATTCACTTGCATGTAGCCAGGAGACGCTGGCCCCAGGGAACAACTAAAACGGTTACCACTGTGTGGAGTGATGCAGCTCTAGAAATCACCAGTATCATTACTTTGCTGGTACTCTGTGAAAACCACCTGTAACAGACAGCCTACACTGCCCTATCAAATACTCTCATATCTAAGATGCCTCAGAGGGGTTAAGGACACTGTGAAGTCCCAGTTGCCTGAGCAGTCAGTAACTCAATACAACAGTGGCAATCCAGCCTGCAGCTCTGGCTGAACAGTGTCTTTGGCTGAGCAGCCCTTGGGGGTCATGATCAAATCTTCATGATGGACATTTCCTCTTCTCTGGACACCCAAGAAAATTGACCCATAGAAGCAAAAAAGTAGAGAGAGAAGACCTAAGACAGCACATGCACCTGTCCTCAGAATCACAGTGAGTAGCTTTTTGTACCAAAAGAACTCATATCCATCTTCTGGTTCTCATGACAGCAGCCTGTTAATAAACCCATTATTCAACAGAACAGGGGATGCAGCTGTTATCTCCTGTTCCACTTTAAGTAGCATCATTTAATTTAACAATTTTCTGAGCATCCCTTTGAGACAGTCTAACAATCTCCTGTGACCAGTTTCTTCCTCATGGATTTTACTTAGCAGCAGTCCAGCTTCTTGAGGCGATGACCATCACCACTAACCAAAGCATTACTACACTTGAAGCTTGTGGTCCGTGTATCATTTAGAGGGCAGGAAAACGAAAGGCTACACCAGGAGCCAGTGATGACATGACCAAAGAAGTAGGGAAACTCAAATGATTTGCTCTTACTGGTCTATACACATGCATCTGCTGTTCAGTTCTCAGCTGCTTACTGAGTTTTGCCTGAAACTGCTTGCTCAAATAAGAAAGCAAAATTTTGAGATATACCCAAAGCTTTGGGAGGTCCAGATCCATGATTCTTCTTCAAAACCACATCTAATTAGAAAAGTACTGAATGACAATACAGCTAACAGCACCGAAGCGACATATGAGATTTCAAAAAAGAATATAAAATTATTCAAAGACTTATGATCCTCAGTGGGTTTTATTCCCATTTTTGTGTTTAGCATTGAAAAATTCTACTTCATTCTAAAAAGTACTCCTATATCCAATAAATGTAATTACTCACCACTCTGGAGGGATCCTGTAATTATAGGATATTTACCACTGAGCCCCTTAGAAAAATGTAATAAAAAAAAAATCATGCAATATGACACCCCACCATTTGAAATGTTTCTGATGTTCTAATAAAATTAATCTGGCAGCCTCTAACAGTAATAGAGTGTTATTTATAACTCCTTTCTACTTCACCACTGCAAGGAAACATGCTGAATCAAATGAAGATGTCTTTTATCACTGAGCTGATCAGTCCTACTGCTGATGCTTGAAAAAGGGCTAAAACCAGAGCATGCAGGTTGCACTTATCACATACTCTTAAAGGAAAGAGATTCTTTTATGTACACATTTCCCAGACAGATATATAGGTTTCTGCAATAAAATTTGAATGGTATTATTTTTACGTCACTAAATTCAATGATAAAATGCCTTTTGTCTTTGCTGATTAGCATTAGCAGTCAAATATCAGTAAGGTATTAAGGCAGGCTTTTCAAAGTACAAAATAAACCATGGAATCAAGAGGTTGTGAAAACAAAGAGAAGAGTTGAGACTAACACTCATTTTAGATTGATCTCATTGGTATTTGGCAGCTGATCTTCTCCCCTCTCTCCCTCCCCTGCCATATTAGATGTCTCATCGTCTGCTGGCAAGACAAAGTTGGTTTGAGAGGTATTCAATCACGGAAGCCTTTGGAAAGTCAAGTGCAATGCATCTAAAGACAGCATTTCTCCGTTTTGAAGGTTGTGCTGGTGCATGTTTAACAGTCCAAGGCCTCAATCCCACTTTGGACACAAGGGTGCCTGCAGCTCACAGCAGCAGTCTTCATGTGTTGTGAACTGGGGCAGCTGAAACACTAGAGAAGCAGTGAGGTACAGCAGTTTTCTAAAGACTACGTTTAGCTTTCCACTGTAGACGGGCTGAGCCACTTCCTACCTCTCAAAGATTTGTGGCACAAAAACCTTCAGACAACTTCCACTGCGCCTACATTTTGCTATTCAAGGCAAGGTATCCTCAGCTGTGAAAATAATGAGGAGATGGAGTAGTTCCTTACTTTCTGAAGGGAGCAGGTTTTTCCAGGCAAAGCACGGCCAAAAGGAAACCCTATTAAAACAGCACAGCTTGTCTATCAATACAGTGCTATTACTGTGTGGTCCTGGATGCTACTATTTTTTGCAAAGGAACAGCACTAAATAAAACTGGGTTATGGGTAACGAGCAATACCCGCCTAGGAAAGAACCACAAAGGGAACACAAACTCTCTCATGAGTGGTAAACTTCTTGTTTAATTAAACAAGATTCCTTTGAAACCAAAGCCCAGGTCAGCAGAACTGCCAAGAAGCCACATCTCCAAGTGAAGCCAAGAACAGCCACAGGCACTGTCCACAGTGCATGCAAGAGCATTCTTCAGAGTGATCACAAGTAAGATGCTTCTCATCACTGCCTCTCTCCATTCAGACAGCACCTCAGAGACAGCCCATGGACAGCCTGCTGATGGAGAGACCAATGTGCCCAGCATGGCTGGTTGCATGAAGCCCTTTGTGCTCAGGATGGCAATCCACCAGCTGCTCCTGAAACTTGCTTGCAGTAGAAAAGTGGGTAAGTCTGGTCTCAAAGATGTCTCTAATTAACAATGTTGACTTAGCCAGTAAGTAAAGGAGAAATATCTTACCACAAATTAACTAAGAATGGGTGTTCCAGGCCCTGCATAATCTGCAGCTCCTTGAAAACATTTCTCACTTCGTTTCGTTCCAAGCACTTTTGTTTATTCATGTATTTCATGGCGTACAATTTCTTGGTGTCGTTCTTTTGTACAACACAGACCTAAGTGAGCAAATCAATTGGTAAATCAGAGATAACTGGTCAGCAAATTTATGCAGGTAAAACAGTCACATGAGCACCGTTAGAGTCGTTAACTCTAACAAAGGCAATGTTGCTAACTCTGGGCATCACCATAAATACCTCATCCCTTTGTTCCTTTGTTGGGGGCGAGGGGCAGGGGGGTGAGAGCAAAGACTTTATCACCACAAAGGTGGTGTTAGGGAATCACAGATGAGTCAACATTTTATTTAATAGCAGTAACTAATCGTGACCATTTTCCTTCAAACTGACCATTTGCCTTCAAACTGTCCATCCCTCCTAAATCAGTTACTATTTTGAAGAGTTCCTTTCAGCACGGAAATACAGAAACTGGCAGCAGCACCTGAATTTTCCCCTTCTTTATAAGGATTTATGAGGAAGAAGTGCATTTTCTCCATTTATTGGCTGCACTTCCCAGTAATGACAGTGAATGAAGTATTTGAACACTTCAGAGCAACCCAAGGTTTCATTCAGCTCACAGTGAACCTCGGGCTTTGCTTGAGAGATACTGGGTTTTGATTTTTAGCCCTTTTAAAAGTTATATTTCAACAAATCTAGAAAGAAATGTTGCTTCAAAGAAAAACTCAAAGGTTATAAGAGTACAAAACAAAACATTTAGACATTTTTCAGATTTGTTTCCACAACAGTTTATGAATTTGGGATAAATTTTCAATTTCAGTCAACCTTCTTTATTTCACCACCAAATAAAACTCTTCGTTGTAAAATTTTTGATTAACTTTGTATGCAAGACATACCTGCTGTTTCTGGCATCAGTGTGCCTTTCTACCATGGGGCAAATGACCTTCTAAAATTCCATCTACATAAACAAGCATAGGAGTCCGTAATAGAATAAAAATAAAACCAACACGTGGCTGTAACCCGATGCTTAATCACAAACACTGTATTTCACAGACAAACATTCCCATTAAAAATTTGCCAAGCCTTTCATGCTGATTGTAGTTCTTTCTCAAAGACACATCGTGATGTTTAGTGTTGCTTTGCTGGGGAATTTGCCTTAGAAAATGCTTATCCAGAAATTTGAAATTCAGCTGAAATTCATTTCATCAGCATCTCACTTTAATCTCCTGTAATATAATTTGTAGCTATGGAATAGATGAGGAATCAGGCTAAGATTCTTTCTCGATTACCAGGAGTTTAACTTCAGGTCAAATCTCATTTTCAATGCAGAGTTTTATGTCTCTGCTCTCACGTAAGCCTCTCTAATTTGCCCGTTTCTCAGATGGCTATATTTATAGGTGTCCCAATGCTGACTAGTACACAAAACACTTACTTTGCCAAAGCTGCCCTTCCCAATGGCTCGCAAAATTTCAAAATGGTCGAAGGTGACTGCAAGAAAGAGCAAACATTCATACATTAAACCACTGGCAACAATTTGATGACGTTAAATTATTTCTACTTTTTCTCTTAGATGAGCGGTGGAAAAAATGAAGGGTGCTCTAGCAATTTTTTGTTGTTCTTGGAGGTTTGGGGGCTGTTTAAAACTTGGTGTTTAACACTCTTTTTCTTTCCAGCTCATCTGCAAAGACAAGTTCACTAGGGCATCCTATTTTAATGGCAGATTAGGCAAGGAACCGTCAAGGGAATGTTTTCACAGTGCCCTGCCTAAGCATGAAAGCCTCATCCTGTTCCCACTGAAATCAAGTGAGAAGTTCAGTCCATCATACACTTGGATTCCATGTGAGGACTGAAACGAGTGGCTGGGTCACTGCATCCTTGTGATATTCTAGACAACTGTTCAACAACTGTATGATATAAACACAGCAACTCTGAATGTAAACTTTGCTGTCACTCAACACCCACAATGTCTCTCTCTTGCTCAGAAAGGAAACAAAAGAATGTGCAGCTTTACAGACTGTGTATTGTAATACAAAGGAATGAACATGAGCATTCATTTCACTTCACCTTTCGGCCTCTGGCTTGAGATGGACCTAAGAGGTACATACCTGCACAGCGAGCGAGAATGTTTCATAAGTACTAACTGGAATGACGCTACACATCAAGTGTTTCTGATCAGCTCATCTGCTAGCCTGTGTTCCAACTTGGGCAATAAATAGACTCCGAGAAACAGCGAATCATACCGCCATAGAGCAGAGAGAGAGATTAACTGTTCTGGGTTCAAACCCTGTCACCAGTTGCCTGGGATGCAAACAGCATCTTTCAGGATTGCACTGTGGCAAAAGTTACTGAATTGAATGCTCTGAATTCTGCTAATGCTTCTCCAAGATGCTGGTGAAGCGGCACTGTACTGAACAGGCATTAGCTAAGAAAAGATTGCAATCAGGAATCCACTCCTTAGACCAGCTACTGCTGGCGAAACTACTTTAAAAGGCACTTAAAACCCATTAAGCAGCTGATTCAAGGCATCAGCTTCTGATAGATTTCTAATAACTCATCAGCTTCAATTAGCGTGACCCCTGGAACTGACAGGCACCACTGACGTGATGGGCTTTAAATCACAGACCTAATTTGCCTTGTGCACCCTCTTGTTTCCAGTCATTACTGAATGGATGGAAGGCACCCAGATAGCTGACCTGCTTTGCTGAAAGCCCCTCCCAAGTAGAGCAATACAGTCCAGCAAGAACATCTATGACGGATTAAAAGTGACAGAAAACAAAACATCTTATTATTTACTCATGCCAGCTTTTTCCTGTTACAACAATAGTCAGGGACCTGCATATTTTACTCTTGAAGTGAGTTTTGCACAATGGAGGGATGTCAATTTGACGCTCCTGGATATCAGTGCCTTTCCCTTGGTCACTTTACAGGGTTGTAGAGATGACAGCTACTTCATGATAGCTTCAACTCTGTATGAGGCATCCAACAACAGCTAGAGGCTGATAGAAGAGGTTAGCCTCTGTGTGGCATTCAGCTGGTGGTCAGTGCTGAGAACAGACCACAGTAAGGAGAGCCCTTTTTAAGCAGTGTTGCCCTCTAAGGTAAGGACAAAACTAGATGAAAGTTGGTTTCATTTTCTCCCTTCCATGCCTTGCAGCATCCCTCCATTCTCTGCTAAGACTGTGACTGCAGTAGTAGCTGGGATGCCAGATATTTTAATAATTTTCTTTGAAGGCAACTGGCCCTCTGTTTTCAGTACAGTTGTCTAGGTCACCCAGGCAGGCATGGCTCTCAGAAATACCTGTCCTTTGTAACCTCCAGCCTCCGAAGAAGTCAACCTTGGAGCTACTATTACTAGCATTACCCTAAATTAGCACAAACAGCATGGTGTTCTGCAAGCCAGAACCCCCACCATATAAGACTTTACACCAAATACAAGGCTTTGCTAAACAAAAGAAAAACCTCAAGGCCTTTCCCTTAGAGTGAACATTTTCACTTGACTTTTGTTTTCAGATTCAGATAAAATCAGAGTGAAAGCACTTGCTTTACAAAGAGCAAGTGGATACGCCTACAGCTATCTGCTGACAGCAGCCTCAGGGAGTCATTAGATGGCCTTTCCAACAGCAAGTCTGCAACTTCAGGCTTTGAAAAAACTGCCTCAGTTGTGCTACCAAAGCTCACTTTCAACCTGCTGATGAAATCTTTCCCAGACACAGGTTATAACCAGGTGTCTGGTAAGAAAACCCTGCCTGATAGCTTCATTTATGTGCCACTGGTGTTGCCTTCTAAGGCTATTTTGAAATATTTACGTTCACATAATCCCTGAGCAGATAGGGCTAAGAGTGCCAAGACCCATGGACGCACACTCTACCACAGCGTACTACTTTGGCCTCAAAGCAGCCTCAGAGTGCTTAAGAAGGGAGATCTGGAGAACTGCAGATGAATGAACCACACTTCATTCACTTCATTCCTGTGAATGAACCACACTTCATTCACAGGAAGAGCAGACGAGGACCAGAAAATAGTGTTGAGCAGAACCTACAGCATGACAAAAGTTTCTGTTCATTTTTGGACCTAGATATGAAGAATATCGGAATATCTTTGTGAATTAGAACTTGAGTAAAGAAGCCATTAAGGATTTATTTTTTAGGACCAGAAGAAACCACCTGAAGTCAGCAGATCCCCGAACTCCCTGCAACCACAGGGACATGCACAACAGGTGTTTAGTTCACAAGGGTTCACAAAGCATCCACCCTACCCACTTTGGACAGGCTGTGTATTTCAGAGCTCTCTAACTATGTGCCATTTCCTTGTTAGAAGTTACGATCCACTAGGGCCAATAAAGCGACACTTCTCAGAGATAGGAACACTCTTGTCCAGTCAGCGCTATATTCACAGTTCTCAGGCTTGGATGACCTCTTTAAATGAAAGAGAGAGAATACCTGTCTTTCAAAAGAAAGCAAACTCATGAAGGATTGTCAAAAGCAGCCTTCAAATTCTGCGCTGCAGATCATCATCCTCTGCTGCTGGTTGATCATTTAGAAAAGGGACAATACAGAAAAAGGGCATTTGATGAAAAATGATCCCACCAATGATTTATGATCTATAATCTATGCACTGAGAATCTCACATAAGCAGTAACACACCAACGTATCCATGTGTCCATTAAGTTATATCTATCCGCTTTCGTAGTCAGAAGTGCTATAGCAATAGCTAGCCAAATATATTTCGGGGTGGCATACATTTTGTAAAAATCTGGTCCCTTCTCTTTTCCCATGCTCTGACCACAGAGGACGGCAAGCATGTTTCCTAGACAAGATAGCCTCTACTAACTAATTTATAGCTGGGGTTCTTTGGCAACGGGACAGAAATACTGCATAGTGATCTACGAGGACAGGGTGTATTACGTTCCTTTGTCTGTGGTTGTTACTTCACATTCAAACTTTTCTATTAAATGCTTTCCTATTTTTGCCTTAACAGTCTGTAAAATTGATTATTATCCCAGAGGAGGTGAAAGACTGAAACAAGAATGAACTAGGATATGAGATGAGAAATGAGATGGAAAGTGTCAGCAAGATACTATCTTCATTAACCCATTCTCTGAAAGGGCATGAGCCTTAGTGTTAGGAGAGGCACTTATCTGTAATGGGAGTGGGTGCTGTGTGCATCACTAAATATCAGATTCTCTCTCTTTCATTACATAACATTGTACTCCAGGAACAGCCTCACTGAAATCAAACAAATAACTCAGAGCAAAGGATGGCAGAATCTAAATGAGCAGATAAACAAAATTTATAGGAAAATTGCCAGGCCTAATTACTTGACAAGGCTAATTTTTCATGCAGTCAACATTCATGATCTCTTAACTGCTTGTTCTGACTTCCTGTGTAGTCGGTCCTAGCAAAGTTTACACTTGAGTGTGTCTGAGCAGACATCTACTTGAATTGCTGACGCAACTGCAACCCTTTACAGTCAGGGGTGGAATTTGGACTGGTAAGAGATAGGTCTCTTCACTTATCACGGGCCTTCCTGGCACCTGAGCACTTTCATGATTCAGGTTATCATTGTTTATGTTTATACAGGTCCCAAACCAATAGTCTATTTAAGGTACACGAAAAATAGTAGGATCCACTCTCAAATGACCACAGCCCACGGAAGTTAATATTCAGTGTCATATGGCAAAAAAGCAGTCGTGCTGCCTCCTGTTCTACCCAATATCTCTTAATTGGAAGACATTAAGATAAGGACAAGATTATGCCAAAATTGTGATTGCTAAGGTGTCTAGTCACAAATTTGCCAAGATAATAGACAAGTTACTAGACAATATTCCCATTTCAGCTGGGTTTATCTCCCCCCATAATATTAAAATATGACAACTCAGAGAAAAACTGTGCTAACAGTTTGTAGATGTGACAGTCATATCAGGACAGAGCCACGCAAACACAACTACACCGATCTGGACACTGTGTCTGGGTGCAGCAGTGGCCCCTGAACCTACTGACGTTTGCCCAACCAACACCTAGTCAGTCATTCAAGATGATCAGAACTGGGCCTCTTCCTGAACTTGTCAACACTACAAACAAACACACTGAATTTTCAAGAGCAGAGCACAGAGTAACAGCATTTCACACTTGGAAAGCCTAGTGCCCTTTTTCACATAACTGATAAGGGCTTCATGTGCCTTTAGTTTTTGTTTGTTAAAACCAATCCCCTTCCAAGCACTGAAGCAGCTTTCATAAGAAAGCACCTGTCTGAAAATACATACTGCCACAAGGACAGTCACCCTGCACAGGTCACTGCATTGCTTAGGGATGTATTTATTTTTTCAGTCATAGGAGCTGACACTGTACAAGTATATCAAACCCAGAGAAAGACTCATGAGAGAAACCAGCCAGTGCAACGAAAATTCAATTTGTTACAGTCAATCTCATAGTCAGGACATATCATCCCAAGGAAGGTGATCAGGAAAGTGAAAAGTAGTAGTCATCTTGAGTTAGCACAAGCAGTAATTTATGAAAAGATGCCAAGACTGAGCATTTGGATGCTCCAGGAGTAAAATTCCCAGAAAAGCCTTGCAGCACAGATTATTTTTCAGTTCCTTTAATGCAAAAGAAAAAAATTCCAAACAATTCTATTAATAATTTGGGAGCAACGGCCTCTTTAGCCAAATAGCCATATACATTCAGCTTTCATTATGGGCCTAGCAACGCATAAGAATGGAAATGATTCCACGTGATGTCATTGTGCTTGGAGGGCAACAGTGATGAATGCAGCCTCTGAAGAAGTGCCACCTGTGAAATCTTCTCTACAGAATGACAAAGGAAGGAGCACACGGAAGGGCAGGAATCACAACAGGGTGATCTGGGACAGGGAGGAAAACATGCTGCTGCATGGAATCACTCTTCCCTTCCAAAAGCAGCCACATGCATCAATAGCTACACACTGAAAACCACACCTCACACTGAATGGTGGGATGGCCACAGCCTTGGGCAGAAGGCTTTGGTACCATGAGCCCTCAATGCACTGCTCTGAATGTAATCACTGCATTTCCAGTGCTGCTCTTCAGAACGAAAGTGAGTTGCTCCTTGAGACCTTTTTCCTTGAGGCATTGAGCGAGAAAGACCAAGTTTTGGCCAAAACCCCTTTTCCCCCTTTACATCCGCACAGTTTTAAAGACTTCCCAGTTAATGACAGCTTAATGGGAGACTGTGGCAGAAGTCTTTCGATGCTATTTCTGTCACTAACGATCAGAACAGAACTTCCCTTCCCCTATCCATAGGATCCCAGAGTTCCAGCATCCTGCCTCCTTCCCAAGAGCTTGCATCTCCAACCTGACTGCTTCTGGGTGGCATGCTGCATCTCAGGCTGTCTGGCTGTTCTCCCCTACTCATATCACTGCGCCAACTTCTCATTGCATCTTTCTGACTTGTTTACCAATGATCAAGTGCCTACGCAAAGTGAACGCAGCTTATTTGTGACATGTTATGACTCATCTTGCTGTCTGTCAGCAGTCCTTCTGCTGTTAATTACAAACTAGGTGAAACCATAACATCAGGAGATTTTTTTTGAATCATTCCATGTATGTCTAGACCCACCTGTGAAACCACTGCTGCTTGAGAACACCAGTTCATCCAAGCCTACATTTCTTAAACTTAGTAATGTTAATAAAGGTACAGTGATGCAGCCTTTTTGCTCATGTAGCCCCCAAAACAAGTGAGAATAGGGGAAAGCATCCAAGATTAACTGAGTGACAGAGATGTCAGTTGAGCCAGTAAGAAAACCAAAAGCAAGTCCTGAGCCTCCTGATTCCCAGCCATCTCCTGCAAGCATTACTCCTTCAGCGCGCAGCTGAGCACAGTGTGCCAGGAAGCCACAGAAAGGTAAGGTGGCCTCATAGCAAAAGTGATGAAGAGGGGTGTAGGGACTCTGAGGTTATTGCCTTCTATAAATTTCCTGCAAAAGCATGGGAAAGTTGTTGGATATGAAGGTGCTGGAGATTCCCAGCCCTAGTTCCTCTATAAAAGCTGTGAGCAAACTTCAGTGCAAAAGAACCGCAATCAGATCTGCCCTAACCACCCCTCCCCGACATATGTGCAACATTCAGTGTTTTGGTGGACCTCATAAACATCACGTATTCTCCACAGAGTGCCGAAACAAACTAAGAACTTGGGGAGAATGCAAGTCTCCTAGTTCCTGAGCATTTTAACAATTCAAGATTGTTCAATATTTGATTAGAGTTATTTTATCACTGGGCCACCAGTTTATATGAAGTCATCTAGGTTCTCATATACTTCACTGCATTTATTTACATTTGCATTTTATTAATGTATCCATGTGGAAGCCCATATGGCAGTTACTCAACTGACTCATGCAACAGGAAATATATTTATGAAACAATCTTTTAATGACTGTCTCTAATCGTGGCAGCATAGTGACAATGGTGTCCACAACTGCTCTCAGCAATGCATTCCCCTTTTCCAGGCTATCATGCCTGAGTGCTAGTTTCACAGTGAAAACTGGTACAGCTGCCCAGCTGAGCAGTTACTAAGAACCTCTAACTTTTTTGCTGCTGATTGTTTCCAAGCGGCTCTCCCACCAAGCCCAAAGCAGGGATGGGCATATGCATTGCTCAGGCTGTCTTCTCATCACACTTAAAACCAATCCTCCTCGTGCTGTGATCTCCAAAACAAACCCTTGCTGCCTCCAACACAGCAGCATTTCTTCCCTGCCTTCAAACTACCTGGCAGCATCCCAGACACTTGTCAAAATCAAATCTCTGTCACGGAGTTATTCTCTCAATGCCCAACCACAGATGCTGGGAGGCAAAAGGACTACCTGACATTCGACCATAGCTCTAAGGTAAATCCAAAGGCATGGCTCTCCTACAAGGCTTGACACATCTTTGCTTAATCAAGATGTCCGGGTGTTCGGAGATCCCAGCATGGGAGCTGACAGTGACTCTTAGGCTCGTGCTGCCCTCAGGATACTGTATTCGTGAACTTTGTAATCCCAGACAACAATTAAAAAAAGCTCTTACCCTCTTCATTTTCATCAAAGGGTGGTGACTTGCTGGAGGTGTTAGCGCCCATGGTCTGTTTTTCTCAAACTAAGCTCTCTCTTACGTCTCTCTCACAGTAACATTACTATCCTTGAACTCAGTGCATCCAGGCCAGGGTTACCATGTGGCTCACTCTCAGCAGACCTGTGCAACTCTCTGTGGGTGTCCAAGAGAAGACAGGAGGCAAAAATTTATCATTAAGGATTAAGAAGCATTTCACAGATTGTAAACTTCTCACTGGACATTGACTGCTCTAGAGACAAAACTGCGTATCAAAAAAGCGTATTATAATTAATTTTACTAGTGAAACCTAGTAATATAGTAATCTTGTAACCTAGACCAGGACTGCTGCCAACTAAATTAAGTATAAACAAGAGTAACAGACCAAATGATGTGAGGATGTGGCTCATGTTTCCTGTATCACCCATTACATGATATTTTGTAGCTTCAATGATGTTATAATGAACCGAGATGATAAAGCATGACTAGCTGTAGCAACGTCAATATCCAAAATAAAACAGCTATAGTGACTTTGACAGATAAAATGAAAAAGGCACATAAGTCACCTGACAGCATAAAAGCTATATAAGAAAAAATTCAGAGTGGTAACCCTTTGATCTAAGCTAGGGTCCCAAGCTTAAAATAAAAGGACAAAATCAGATCATTTTTTTAAATGAAAAGATTTCAAGGAAAATCAAGGTGCTGTTACCATTCGATGTCTTCAACAAAAATTTTGGATATGATAAAAAAAAAAGCTTCTGATTTATGGCTTAATGCAGGTTACAGTGGTTGATTTGTCTCTTATATTGCAGAAGAACAGGTCTGTCCAGAGGAAGACAGAAGAGGCAGGCTTTAAATTTTCCAGTTATTCCTCAAACATATATATGTACCATGGAGTATATGATTCTGTATAGTGTGGTGACACTCAAGATAGTTTTCAACACGCTTACATGGGTAGAGTGGCAGTTTTATTTTTAAAGTGTTTACATGTAAGACGCTGTTATGCACTTATTTTGATACTGATATCCCTGTGATATACATGGCATTTATTTCTTGTCGCAAACATGAAGTCCACAAAAGAATAAAATGAGAGAGTAACAGGGCAGCACAATCTACTGGTAGATTTTGTCCAGCCAGGACTGTTTTCTGGGACATTCATATTTTCATTGAACGTTTAAAGGGGTAATTTGGGCTAATTCATTTTTCTTAGATCTGCACTCCGGAAACACAGTTACAGAATGGCTTTACTTTTTCACTTGGAAGCAACAACATCCTGTTATTGAAACACAAAAGAGAGGAATTATACAAAAAAACATTGGAGAAAAGAGAATTCCTGAGACAGTCCTGATGTCTTCCCTGCCTGGTAACTCCAGTGGGACTGCTGCATGAGTAAAGACTGCAAATTCAATCTTAATGGTTAACTCTTCACATACACAGACTTCGAGTTTTCTTCCATCCAGAGTTGAAGGAGTTCAATCTAAAGCAGAAAATGGAAAAGAGGGTAAAGGATGGGCACAAGGAAAGAGAAGCAGGGATCATGAAGTCAACAGATTTAGAGGTCAGAGAGTATAAAGAGGTTGTAGTGGAATCAGAAATGCAGGAGGAGCTCAAGTGAGACACTGACATATGTGATTTGGCGGCAGGCAGCGGAGGGGAAAGGGATTTGGTCCCTTCCCTCCTCACCAGGTAGGGGCCCTTGGAAAAAAAAGCACACAGAGTAGAGATCAGATGCACACCCAGGAGAGGTGAGCCAAAAGCGTTTTAAGAATCAGCATGGAAGGTGAAGTACAGCAGAGAGCAGGACAGGGAAAAGGGTGGGGAGGTGGGGACTGGGGTTCTTCCAAGATTTGCTCTTTATTTATCTGAACTGATTTTGCTTTTCAGCTGCCAGAATATGGATTTTCTGAAACAGGAAGGATCTCCTGCTCCCTAAGACACCAGAAATAGCCTCTACCTCTTGACCGCAATTTCGCCCCCTGCCTGTGAATCTGCTCTCTCACGTGGCCATTTAGGAATTCTTGATGCAGATGCAGACAGACCTGACCTCCTCTGCTGAGGCTCAGCCAGGTCCTGCCTGCTTACCAGATGAGCAGGATAACAGATGCAGGCCCAAGTCACCTCTTGCTCTTCCATCCTCTCTCCCGCTCCCCTGCCCCCTTCCTTGCACCATTACGCTCAGTTGCTTCTCTCCAGCTAACTTTAATTTCATCTCTGTCACTTAGCCAGGAACTCAATTCTAACCCCACACTCCGGGTCAGGAGACTTCCTTCAAGCAAGTGCCAAAGTTTGTCTGAAGTTAAAAAGCTACCCCTATATTTAGGTGTCTTCCTGAACTGGGCTATGGTAAAATTCATCCCCAATATTACAATTCGAGGAATCAAACTGCAGATCAAACTGCAGCAGCTGCAGAAAGCATCGTAGTGGCTGAATCTGCAGCCTGTATCTATCTTCTCCAAGTCAGCTAGAGTTGAGAGGTCTCCAGCACTACAAAAGCACCCAGAACGAATCAGAGAGATACACAAGGCACTCCCTCTCCAAAGCCTTTTATAAACAAACAAAACTGCAACCCACCCACGCTGCTGCTGTGGTCCAGTCTCATAGAACTCACTACCCACAGCAAAGTGCGGGGAAGGGTACATTTTTCAAAAGGCCAAAAAACCCCAATGCAAGCTATTAAAAAAGTTAAAATCACGAGCTCTCATCTCTTTTCAAGTCCCCAAACGTACTCTTCAATGGAGCAATATACCTTCAGAGGTAATAGCCATAAATCAAGTTTCCATACTGACGCTTCTACATCAGTGGCAGCCACAAAGGCCAGCTGCTTAGTGAACCTTTCTTGTATAGGAGTCGACAGCTTAATTTGCTTTTGAAAATATGTTGAGATATAAAAGCTATGAGAAGAGTGAAGGTTTTCCTTTCAGTGAAGCTAATTTCAGAGACAGTCTGAGTAATATTTACTATGATTTATATCTTTATAAGATGTACCCGGGGTACAGTAATGATAAATGTTCTGCTGTTTCACATTGAGAATTCACAAAACAATTAAATTCATTACTTTCACTAAGGCTAAAACTACTAATGCTTCTATATTAACCTTATGTTCAGACCACTCATTGTTGCGTGAACAGAGCGGCAGAAGCCCCAGTGACCACTGGTCCCCAGGTCTCATTAGTCGATCTTACTGCCACAACATAAATTTTAGAGGCATGAGATATCAGCTGGTTGGATATGCCCATGCACCCACTTCTGAAGCCAGCGCAGCGCATCCTGCAATTTCTAAGCATATTTTATCCTCAATAGATGAGCATAAAAACAAAGTAAAACCATATAAGTACTTGAGCGTCATCTCTAGGGATTTACACTCACACTGCAAACAGGATATGCTCTTCAGTGGGGAACAGAGCTTAGAATGATTAACACAAACAGTAAGAACAGCTAATCAAGTCAGAGCAGAGCCACTAACTCAGACAGATTCCAAAATGATTTCTCTTATCACCTTTTTATTGCTTGAGCACTGCTGGGGGAAAAGAGGTGCTACTGCTGTTCTGCTGAACAACTGAAACTCATCGGGAACACAACAGTATATGAGATTATGTCATTACTTTTGTCCCAAAATTTCTGCCTTAGAGAAACCAAAGATTATTCTGAGCCCTTCTGTAACTGCAATAAAGTTTAGAAAGGAATGGAGAACAGGCATTATTCTGTGTCACCTTTGTTTCTGATCCCGTTGGAGCTGTCCCTCTGGCAGTGTGGCCATGTAACTTCCCAGCTTGAAAATGTTTACCCTATTGCAGAAAGTGACTAAGTTATTGTCTGCAAAAAAAAAAGAGAAAAAAAAAAGAAAAAAAGAAAAAAACCAGTATTCCAAGCTGTAGTCAACTGCAAGCAAGCCACCCCATCAAAAGAGAAAAATCATGCTGGAAACACACCAATACATGCAGTTCATGATCAGGAATCTTAAAGAGTCAAACAAAAAAACCGACCTACCTTACCAGGAGGAGATGAAGCAGCAAGTGAGACTGAAACAGTAGTAGACAGAAACAACCTGAAGCTGTAGTTGAGAGGAAATATCAGTTGCGGCAGCAAGCTGCTATGCTGTTTAGATAAATGCGTGCAAGTGTGGGGTCCTGTTCTGTGGCAAAGGGACTGGGCTCTAAGCCTCTATTGCAGGGAAATTTCCCTTTGCAGATTGCAGGAGGAGCTTGCAGCAGTCACAAGAGGTGAAGTACATAGGAGAGCAGGAGAGAAACATGCAAATACCCTGCCACACAGGTACACTCACAGGGGAAGGTGTAAGGGGGGACTGAATAAATAAAGAATGCTGTTAGGTAAAGGGAAAGCTACCAGCTCTTGGATGTGGCAAACCCCTGCAACTGTAGTTAATGCTGATCAAATTGGCAACGATTCTTCAACTGCAGAAGCATCACAGGCACATTGTGTCTTTTAACCACTTTATAGATCAGCACTTTTTAGCTACTATGTGCAAGACATTTCCTATGACCAGGGGAAAGCACAATCTTTTCTGATCATCCCACCACAATGGAAAATGTTCTGCTGTTTTGAGATGCTTTTATGAAATGTTTCTTTTGTTTCTGCTTAGTCTGCTTTTTATTTGCTTGTTTTTAACTCATGCGATGCCACGGATTTTTACTGCTATTAGTAAGGGTTAGGACTCTTTCCCACCTACCCAGATGTACTATATATCAAAACAAGGAATTACCCTCAGTCTTTCCCTCTTCAGAAAGGGGTCAGTCATAGAAGGTGCTGAGAACACTGGCTCCAGACAAGCACAGCTCTTAATTCTCTCTTCAACCTTAAACACTATGCTAATCGCCCTGACTTCAACAGGTTAACTCACAACTTCAAGTTAAGCAAGATCTCTGTCGGACCACAGCCAAAGTTGCTCTGCTCTTTATAGGGCTGAGTCCTAGTGAGCACATGTCTCCTCTGTCCAGATGGACAGATCCCTATTGGAAAGGCACCTATAAAGAAAAAAAAAAAGATATCATGAAGTTTCTCGTTTTGTTGTCCACGTTC